CAACACAGCGACACCAGCGCCGACTGGCAGCCGCTGACACCCACGGCAGCAGCCACCCCTAGCCCACGCGCCGCCGTCCCGAGCGTGACGCCACCACTGACCGGCTCGGCGCCGCCGTCTCGAGCGTGACGCCGTCACTGACCGGCTCGGCGCCCCGTCCCGAGCGTGACGCCGCCACTGACCGCCCATGCCCGCCGTCCCGAGCGTGACGCCGTCACTGACCGGCTCGCAGGCTAACGCCGTCATCTGCTGTGCGCGAACGACGCCACCGTCGACGGCACCTGGTGCGAGTGCGACGACAGCGACGAGAAGCCTGACGTGCCGGAGTTGAGCGAAGTTCATGAGCCCCTGGCGGCGGGCGCCAAGTCAGACTCGAGCGCGGCTGAGCGCGGGCCCGGGCGCGGCCGGGGCGCGACAGCAGTAACAGCAGACATCACGGCGGCATACGTGCCAACGGCGCATGCGCGTCGCGCCTGGTACCGTCAGGCATGCGGCGGGTCAGAGCAGATGCAGGCGTACGCGGCGAGCCCGAGCCCGAGGTACACAAACAGTGCGGTCTGATCAGTCGTGGTCACCTTTTGACAACTCTCATAACGCTGTCGAGCTGCACCTTCGTCGCGCTCAGACTTAAAGCCACGCGACCCAAACTCTCCCCCGGTCATGATCAGTTCTATGAAGTCTTGAAGCCTTCTGAGCAGAGTCAAGGGGCTTAGCGTTCTGTTTTTGATCGTAAAATTACTGAGCGCTTAAGCCATATAATATCTACATTTTCGGTTCATGCGGACGCAGTCTATGATCAATGTGATCGGTGCGATGGGCTGAACAATTGCGATGCTATGAACAATGTTGTGCTTTCACGCATTCACCGGAGGTGTCGTAATGACCCGACCCTACAATATACGTTGCGTCGTAATATAGATATTCGATAACTAAACGCATTGAGTCATATTTCCGACCATCAACAGAACGAGGACAACGTACAGTGCTAAAGAACTGACTCAGCAACCTCTTAAAGATGATCAAAACCCCCCCGCTGTCTCGTCTTGTGAAGACAACGCCGAGTGGCGATCCCACCCTGCCCAGGCCTCTCCCCACCCCCCACCCCCTCCCCTCCAGCGCTTACTTGTAGTCTGCCGACCGCAGCGTCTCGTAAGTACATGACGCGCGCCTTAATGCGCCGTGATGGTGTCGATCAGCTCGCGCGGCGTGCCGTGGTGGGCCGCCGGCCGACTCCTGGTAGCGCCACTGCAGCACGTTACGTGCCCAGGTGCGCCGTCACGTGCGTGCCCTTCAACGGGCGGCACGTGAGGGGGCGGCGCGTGCTCGGATCCGCCAACACGTGCCGCCGCTCGGCGTGGCACACATCACCCGACCTGAGCTGCTGGTGCTGCGACGATTTGCTCACGGGTAACACGGTTTGGCTGCTCTGCTGGCTTATCTCCGTTCCTGCACGGTCACACTCCACCGCGCTCCTTCACCTAGTGCTGGGTGAACAGGGGTCAGCGGATCGTTCGTCGTTGGACCGGCTCTAACTCCGTGGGCGTCGGCCCTGACCTGCACACTCTCGCCGTCATGACAGATGAGCGTCGGCTCGACGCGGAAGTAGTCGACGCCCTCCTTCCAGCTCTTCTCCCCACGAAGCGGTGCTCGCGTCCTCCGCCAGCGTGTTCAGTGTTTCCCCGAGACCTGCAGCGCACCTGCCGGGGGAGCACGAGTCCGTCACACAGGAGCCGGACAGCGCTGCTGCAGCGGGAGTCCGCCATACAGGAGTAGCGCTGCTGCAGCGGGAGGCCGCCATACAGAGGCAGCGCTGCTGCAGCGGGAGGACGCCATACGGAGGCAGCGCTGCTGCAGCGGGAGGACGCCATACAGAGGCAGCGCTGCTGCAGCGGAGACGCCCTACAGAGGCAGCGCTGCTGCAGCGGGAGGCCGCCAGCAGCAGGTCTCGGGAGATCCCTGCGCAGACGCTGCCCGCTGGTTAGGAGCATGAATTTACAATCAGTCACCAGCACATAGACAGCCAACGTCATTAGCGTGCCTCGCTGTCACGCGGGTGATCAATCTCCCACGGGGAGGATCGAACTCTTCCCCGCCCCCGAGCATCCGGCCTGGCCAATCTGAGGGCGACCGCCGCTGCGGCCCTCACGCCAAGGAACCCGAAACCCGGCGGAGTCGTTCGACGTCAGACGGAGTCATCACTGGAGTCATTCAGCGGGCAGCCGAGTGCAACAGGTGCGGCCGACGGTGACGCGCCGCTGACGGCCGGCCGGGGACTGACCTGAGTGCGGCTGAGCCAGCTCTTTGTTGGTGATGGGCACCTTGGTGCGGAGCACCGAGAACGCCACATCCGACTTCATGATGTCGAAGTCCCAGCAGATGACCGAGCCGCGGTCGCTGTTCAGGATCAGCACCTCATGCACCTGACGCAGCGGCGAACCGGCGGGTCAGGCGGGCCGGCCGGCCAGGCGGGGTCAAACGGGCCGAGCACGCGCCGCCACGGCTCTCGCGACGGGACGGGCTGACCGGGGACCACTGGCCAACTGAATTTTCACCGGTGACACCGAGGGATCAGCCTTGACGAGACCGCAGCGTCAACGATTGACCTGGCAGTTAACCTCAGATCAGGCTGACGGGACAGCAGCCAGCCTCAGCTGCTCGCAGGCGCGGCTCGCGGAGCGGCGCGTCTCACCTGGCCGCGGGTGAGGCTGACGCAGTGGTAGATGGAGTCCATGCCGCCGCACAGCTCTCCCTTCTGGTTCTCCATGTCCTCGATCGGCATGTACATGGTCTTGGGGATGAGGCCGCCCTCACTGATGACACACTGCCGACCAGGTCACCAACACCGCCACCAGTCAGAGCATGGGGCAGCTGTGCTACCCTGCGAGGATGAGCGGCGGCACCCCTGCAGGCCGGCGCCAGCGCACGTCCGGAACGAATGCAGACCGGGCGGAGCACGCGCTTAGATAGCAAACGGTAAGGGCAAGTGGCGTATACATCCCTGCCCGCCTCCATCCGCGCCGCTTTTGCATGTCACTTATATGCGAAGATAAGGGTACCACCAAGCCCTAATGGAAGATGCTAAAACATTGACATCTTCATAACGTTACGCACAAGGGGGATCAGCCAAAGTGAGGCAACACTCCCAGCAAGTGTCGCCAGAGGCCCCTCCGGCAACCATCAGCTGAAGTGTGAAAGGGCAGCCCTGGAGGGGAGTGAGAGCCTCGGCGGTCGGCCAGTACCTGTGCCATGCCGCCCAAAAACTCCGGTATGTGCTCCTCGGGAATGTAGAACTTGAGGCCGTGCTGGTAGTCGTCGTCGCAGAAGAGGAACTTCTCGCGCGTCTTCTCGTCGATGAAGGTGGAGACGAGCGTCCAGAGGATGGGGAAGACGCGCGGCGCTCGGATGATCAGCACGCGGCCCATCGTCTCCGGGTAGTTGGCCTCCATGATCTCAATGATGCGGAGCAGCGCCTGCCACACGCGCGGGAGACGAGGGGACGCTACAGCCACAGCCACACTCGCATCAGCCGGCTGTGCGCTGTACCAGCGCTACTGTGCACCTCACAGGCGCAGCTCGCAGGCGCTGTCATCTACAGCAGCACCAACCGAGACACCTCCTCCTCCGGCTCGCAGACGGGACATGCCATTCCGCAGTGCGCCGTCCCACGCAGAACGCAACGAGCGCGACACATGCTAGCGCCAGCTTCAGTCAGTACGGCCCGATGTGGACCGGAACAGTGCGGAACGGTACGCGTTCCGTGCGTTTCGGCCCACCAGCCCATTCGCTCCGGCCCGCTCTGCTGCCCACCGGCCCATCCGCTCCGGCCCACCCCGCCGCCCACCTTGATGCCGGGCCGCCAGAGGTGGCGCATGTTCAGGCCATCTAGGTCAGCCAGCAGCGTCCACGAGCGGATGGGGCGTCCCTCTCGCATGGTGGCCTCCTCGGCCAGGCGCAGGCCCTCCTCGCAGATGTGCAGCACCTGCCGACCCGGTGACCCCGTCAGTCGCTGCCGGCGGCCGCCGTGCGGACGGCTGGAGAGTGCGCGGTATGGCGACACAGCGGCGACTCGGACGTGCCGCCTTGGCTTCACGTGAAGCGCCGTCTCCGGTAGAGCAGCCGCAGACTTTCGGAAACAGCCGTGAACAAAACGAAGAACAGGCAACATAATGATGGCGTGCCATGGATACGCCATCAGGCATGAAGGCTTGGGCAATGCCGTACTGAGCCGTTCGCACCTCGCACTAGGCCGGGTCACATCGGCCTGTGTTTCAGCGTGGGGTAGGCCAATGCCTGGCCAGGTTGACATGTCCGGCAGCAGCACCAAAGCCTCCCACACGGAGGGACTCACCAGCTTGAGGAGGCCCTCCTCTCCACAGCCTTGATCAGACCCTTCACGTCCATCTGGCCCATGCGCA